CAGCTCCTTGAAAGAAGCTTTTAAAAGCCTGTGAATTTCTGTGAATTCAGTTGGGGCAGTGATATGTCTGTCAAATACTGTCCCTAAATGGCTTATCCGATAGTATACTGTATCTATCTTTAGTAGGCAGATACATCCCTGTAAAACAATAACTGTGAATCTAGATTTTAGAGGAATAAGACCTGTTAGCTATTGCAAATTGAAGTGAATGGAGGTCGAAATGTGATTAATAGAGCTGAATTAAAAGACAGGCAGCAGTAGTAAGTCAATCTTTAATGAACAAATAAAGATGCCCACACATTAACACACATCACAGAGTTTTATGAGTAAGACAGCAAAGAGAGCCTGTACGTGCTGCTCAGGATAACATAAGCAACAGTTTTAAAAAGCTCAACACATGATGTGGATAAAAGTAGCTTTAAGTTAAAACTGCTGGTTGAGTTCCCATAGGTTGTATGATATAGGTTTGGGTTTACTACCAGCACCTTACTTTTTTGCACTTATACTTTTATGAAGATATACATGTGATTGATTGATTGATTGACTGATTGACTTTATTGATCTCACAGTGGAGAAATTTACTCGTTACATCAGCTCAGATGGTCGCAGATGAAGAATGTGCCAAAGAAAAAAAAAGGTGCATGGATATATACAGTATATACAAGTGTGTCCGCATATAACATTTGGCATTTATATGGATGATGTTTATATTTATATATAGAGAGAGTTTTTGCACTGGGTGTCAAATACAGAGAAACAGGTCATTGCACAGGGTATCAAATAGTAATTGCACATTATAGATTGCAGAAGTTATTGTCGTTGTATTGTTGCATTGTAGAGTCTGGTTGCAGAAGGGATGAATGACCTGCAGCAGCGTTCCTTTTAACAAACAGGGTGTAAAAGTCTTTCACTAAAGGAACTGCTCAGCTCCTCTAGAGTCTGGTGCAGAGGGTGGAAGGTGTCGTCCATGATGGATGTAAGCTCGGACAGCAACCTCCTCTCAGGCACTTCCTCCACTGAGTCCAGAGTGCAGCCTAGGACAGAAGCGGCTTTTCTCATCAGTTTGTTCAGTCTCTTTCTGTCCCACTTTGTGCTGCCAGGGGGCCTGCAGACAACAGCATAGAGGAGGGCTGATGCCACCACAGAGTCGTAGAAGGTTTAAAGCAGGGGCCTGCTCGCTACAAAGGACCTCAGCCTCCTCAGGAGGTGGAGGCGGCTCTGGCCCTTCTTTTACAGTGCATCAATGTTATGAGTCCATTCCAGTTTGTTATTAATGTGAACACCCAGGTGTTTTAAACTCTCCACCATCCACTTATACTTAGTGTACGTAGTGTAAGACCATCTTCTGATGACTACTTCCAGAAGGATAAAGCTCCAAGGCATAAAGCATGAATCATCTCAAACCAGTTTCTTCAACATGAGACTGAGTTATCTGTACTAAAATACCATCCACAGTCATCAGATCTAAATCCAATAGAGCTCCTTTGGGATGTGGTTGAACGGGAGATTCACAACACGGATGTGCAGCAGACGAATCTGCAGCATCTGCATGTGTGATGCTATCATGTCAATATGGAAGAAACTCTCTGAGGGATGTATCCAGGACCTTGTTGAATATATGCTACGAAGGAAAAAGGGGGTTCAACCTGGTACTAGCAAAGTTTACCTAATAAAGTTGCTGGTGAATGTATTTGTATGCCTTACAACCCTACTGCATTGGAAGATGGTCCAGAGGGATAAAAAAAATAATAATAATCTGGTATAAAATCTGTGTTTTCTATGCCTTTAATTCACTGAACCTATAATAATTGGATATTTCATAACTATTTACGGGTCATTGCCTCTTTTAGAATGATTTCAGAGATCTAAAACCCAGGGTATCATCCACCTACTAACCATCATTGATTATAAAAAGGTGTGAATATAACACTTATTATCTGTTCAACCCCTGATCTGCTTTCGGCAGTATTTGTTTTCCTTTTTTTCATAAGCCAACATTTCTTTTTCTGTTTCTTGGTTATAGCTCAAGCACAAATGGGATATGGATTCTGCATCTCTGTAGGCATAGGTTTAAAAGGGTTAAAGTATAAATGCTTCCTTGGACACTTTACACTGGAAAAACGATCTAGAAATAAGTAAAAATTCCTTAAATTAAGTGAATTTACCCTTATTTTGAGTAGGTAAATGAGATATTTTGCCAATGGAAGGAGTATTTTCTACTCTTAAAATAAGATAATTAAATAACATGCACTTGAAATAGGAGAATTCTGTTGTGTTTTCTTATTTTAAGTGTAAATTGTCTTGTTCCTTTTTGCAAAATGTCTCTTTAACCTCCTTAATTAAAGAACAATTCACTTATTTTAAGAAAAAATGACTTATCTAGATTTCGATTATTTCCAGTGTAAGAGTAGATTCTTCAGTAAAATGTTCTTGATTGCAATATAAAACAAATAGAAATAATTGCAGAAATCAGCCAGATTTCTTTAAGCCTGAGACTCATATGCTGGCTAAATACCATGAACAGTTTTTAGATACTGATTGTACTTTTAAAACAAAATTTCTACATTAGACAATTTTTTCTGTTAAGGAAAAACTGTTTCAAAGTCTGACAACTAACTGTACCACCCTTGGCATAATTACCTCCAAACATCTGCCATCACTGGTGATCAGTCATTCATATCACTTTGGAGGATTTTTTTATCCACTCTTTTTTTTGCTAAATAAGATATGTTGCGCTATTTTATTAAAAAGAACAGTTCTAAATTAGGTTCTGCCAAGTTAAAATTATATTATTGATTTTAATATCTATCTATCTATCTATCTATCTATCTATCTATCTATCTATCTATCTATCTATCTATCTATCTATCTATCTATCTATCTATCTATCTATCTATCTATCTATCTATCTATCTATCTATCTATCTATCTATCTATCTATTAATCTATTCCAGTTTTAAGCTTTAGTAAGTCTCTTCACTTGTAGAGCAAAGCCAAATGTTGTATAGACAAGTAAAATAGAGAAAAGGCTGAGGCCTTATATAATAGACTAACACTCAGCATGTGTTCATCTTGTACCTTTGGGAAAAATGCTGCACCTCTTTTCTGGGGAAAAATCCAAAATTCTGACCTAAAACAATAAAGCAAAACTCTTTTGTTCACCACTAAGACACCTTTAAAAGATGTATAAATGAACAGGGTTTTTTTTTCATTGTTTCCAAGTTCTTTGCCACGCCCAGAAAGGTTTGACTGTGTTCCATTTTTTCTTTATTAGTGGATAAAACACTGCTGTAAACATGAGATTCAGGCATTGAAAATAGGTTATAGCCTTTTTTAGAGAGATAAATGTCATTGATTTAGTTTCATATCCTTTGTGAAATTTCTTTGCATCTCGGCATAAGTTATATTATTTTTTCCCTTAAAAAGTGAAATAGTTCAACAACTGAATTGTGAATTTTACATTTACAGTCAGTCTTATCGTTGGCTGTTTCAGGTGACTGAAACTGGCTTGTCTTTTTTTCTTTTATGCACTTAACAACCAACCTTGAGAAAATAATAAAAACAGTATAGTCAAGAATATCTTTAAGCACTTTTACATTCATCCTTCCCTAAATTATAGAATGTTTCCAATATGAAGCTTTATATATTTTTTGCCCTTTTCCCCCACAAGATGGTTATATAGATTTAAACTGAGACAATACTTTATTTGTTAAATAGGGAGAGAAATAAAAAATACAATTCATTAAAAACAAAAATAAATAAATATTTTTTTCCTCATTGTCTAATGTACAAACATTTTAAATAGTTTAGTTTAGCTTAGTTTGGTTAGCAATAACAAAAGTATTCAATTTGTCAATCAGAAAAATAAGAGAGTTTTTTTTATTTTCTTTCAATCAAGAAGAGAATTCTGGCCCTACTGAAGCCTGGATACTCCTTGGGAAAAATTCCTAGATGTCCTATTTAGTCAGACAAAATAATATGGTTAGGCCAGAGATTATTTACACACCGGGATCATTCAGATAAATGAATGAGCAATTTCTTTAGTATAGCTGGGTGTAATTATTGGCCCCTTAGAGTGGCATCTAGTCCCAAGTTGGATTTGGTACACTTTAAAAAGACCTAAAGAAGGGCCAATGGCAGGACAGCCTTCCAGCCTCAGACAGCAGTTCATCCCAAAAGATAAATCATCAAAACACCACAGGAAACATAAAGAGCTGACCTGCTATTGTAATAGTGTTTGATGTTTGTAATACCAGAGATAATTTTTTCCATTATTGTGAAGAAGTCTAAGTTAATTTCAACGTGCATTTTTTATCTACCAAACGTCAATAGAAACAAATAATCCTTAAGATGAGTTGGAGGATGCATATCTATTTTTCAAAAGAAAGCATTTCTTTTCAAAAAATGAATATGTTAATATTTAATCCTAGAAACGGTTTTTTATGTAATAAAAGAAGATTTAGTGAATAAAGATAATTTTAGATGTCCTATCTGAGCTAAAGTAGGTCAAATTGAATATTGTATTTTCTGCTTGCATGCTCCCTAAAACAAATACCACTGCAGCTGGTTTAAAGTTTTATTGGTCATAAAAACATTTTTCACCTGTTAATGAAAATAAAATGGTGTGCAAATAATGTCCATCATTTAACAAAAAGTATTTTTGTCTTTATAAGACAAAATAATCTTAATATTTTTTCAACTGTTTTAATCGTAGTTTCTTTTCCAAGCGAGTTAATCACTTTTTTCTGTTCTCGCTGAGCGGGTCCATTCTTCTGCGGAGGGTGGGGCAAACCATTAAAAATAATAACAACACAACGCTATCTTATTATTACCCATATGAAATTTTAAATTGTACATATTTTTAATCGTGCTTGTTTTTTGGTTGATCTATAACACCCTTTAGACCACAGGGGTAACTATTTTTTCCTCTCACTGTACCCCGCTAACCCCCCTTCGATTAGCCTGAGTGGAAGCGGCCAGAATAACCTTGGTGTAAAGCGGCTGGCTGAGCGGCTGGAGAGCAGCTCGAGAAGCTGAATGGTGAGGCGGCCAAATAGCAGCGCACTGCTGGCGTGAACATGGCGGAGACTGCGCGCTCAGTCTTCGAATACCCTCACGGCGACGGAGAAGGCATCAAAGCGCCTCTGCTAACTCGAGGGTGAGTCCGGGGGAACAAAAAGATGTTATTACCCTAATAGTGTAAGTGGTCTGCCAATATATTAGAAAAAAAACGTACGGAGGTGGGTGTGTGCAGGGCGTGATGGTGTTTTCGGTGCTACTAAAGTTATTGTCACACATTTATTTAGCTGTTTATCACTATTCAAATCGGAGACACTCTTTAAACTAGCTTGTTCTCTCCAGGCCATCCTGTTTTTGACTGTTAAATCCACCTTGCTCCATAGAGGTATATATATGTGAGCGTGTGTGTGCTCTGTCGGTCAGAATAAACCACTCTAACAGAAAAAAAATGTTTTACTAGCAGCCAGAGCGAAGTTAGAAAATACAAATAGCTATTTAGCTTATTTAAAAGGAGGTGAAACAAACCTGACTACAAGTTGTTACGCTCACACTTGTTACTTTTGTTACCAAGGATGTTTTTTTTTCTCAAACAACACGTTAAACTCTTGATAGTAAAGTTTTCAAGCATGTGATTCAAACGTCCAACTTATCAAAAAGTTGATTAGTCGTTGTTATTAAAAAGTCAGCGATGACCGAGCGAGAGAGTGTATGAATGTGCGTGTTTGTGTGTCCTGCTAGTGCGCACACTCACGTGTGATTGTGATTGTGTGTGTGAGAGGAGCAGCTCTCCCTCTGTGTGTGTGTGTTGTAGAGCAGGGGAGGGTGTGGGGGTGTGTTATAGCGTGTGTGTTGGGGATGGGAGGAGGGAGGAGGAGAGGGAGTGAGGAGTGGTGTGTGTGTGAGAAAGAGTGAGACAGAGATGAGGAGAGGGAGGAGGGAGCACAGTGTGCAAGGAGTGTGTGACAAAAATAACAGGAGTGTGCTTGTGTGTTGGGGAAAATGGGTGAGAGTGTGTGTTGGGGAGAGCAGATCAGCATGTTTTCTAGATTATCTGTCTGTGTTCTTGTGAGAAGAGACACAAAGTTAGAAAGAAGAGAGTTAGGAATGAAGATGTGTAGATGGAGGGGGGCATGGGTGCGTGTGAGTGACAACAAGCATGCAAAAAGTGTAACTGTGTGTGAGAGAGAGGCAGATAGAGGGGAAGTGTGTTAGAGGCACAGAGAAAGGGAGGGGGGGGTGTGATCAGAGTGGGGGAGGGACTGTGTGTGTGTTTGTTTGCATGTGTTTGAGGGAGAGTAAGTGGTGTGTGTGTGTTGGGGGGTGTTTGCGTGTTTGTAATAGTGCAGTGAATAGATTGAAAAAAGAGGAAAAGTGTGTGAGGATGTCTGTTTATAAGAGAGGTGTGTATGATGAACAGGTTGAAGGTGTGTGTTAACACAGCAAGAGAAGTGTGGGGGGGTGTTGCAGAGAGAGACCACATTCTCTGTGGGTGTCTATGTGTCTGCTTTAGAACGGCAGGGTCGGGTGGTAGTGAGTTGAGGACTGGGTGTGCGTGTGTGTGATCAGCAGCATGCATGCAAGCTTTTACAGCAGAGAAGGTTGGTGTGTATGTGTGTGTCTGTGAGAGAGAGGGGATGGTAGCTTGTGCATATGCTGTCTGTTTCTGGGTTTGTGTATTTGCTCTGGAAGAAGAGGTGTTGCTGTGTGTGTCTGCATGTGTGTGTTTGTTCTGCAGTCAGTAAGAATGGGAGGGGTGTGTGTCATGGGGGAGACAGACACAAGGTTTGTGTGTGTTTAAGTGTGCATGCGTGTGACGCTCCTAGACAAGGGCAGTGTGTTTATACGCGTGTTGTACAGAGGGAAGGAAAGTGTTTATGCATCTACTTTGTTTATGAGAGAGGAAAGGAGAGTGTGTGTGTGTGTGTGTGTGTGTGAGTATGCATGCTCAAAGGAAAAGTATCTTTGTGTGGGTGGTTATGGTATACGTGTCTGTGTGTGTTTATGATTGGCAATTTTGTTAGCGTGTATGTGTGTGTGAAGGACGCAGGGTATATATGGGCTTCACCAGTTTTGGTGTGTGGAGGGAGCAGCAGAAACAGTTGAATGACAAGAGGCTGCACGTCTCAATGTCCAGAAGCACGGGCAATGTTGGCTTGTTGGTGGCGAAAGGAGGAATAACTTGTTTGGTGGAGCGTGTGTGTGTGTGTGTCTGTGTCACTAAGTGGGAAAGAGAATATGTTGTGGCAGACGTGCATGATTGTGAGGGAGAGTGTGTGTGTTTCAGTGTGTGAATAAGTGAAAAAGAGAGATGGAACATGAGACTGTGGGCCTGGTTATTTGACTGTGTTTGCGTGTGAGAGGGAAGGCTGTAGAGGCAGGGGGAGGATTGTGTGTGTGCGTGGTGGTGGTGTGGGGGGCGTGTGTGTGAGCTTGGCTACAGAGAGGATATTTGTGTGTACTGTATGTGTGTGTTTCAGTAAGTGTGTTTGCGTGCCTGTTAGTCTGAGAGGGAGGGGGGTGTATGTTGAAGAGAGAGAGAGAGTTAGCGCTTGTTTGTGTGCATCAGCGTGTGTGTGTGTGTTCCTGCAGGGAGGGGGAGTGAGAGAGATGTTTGTTGCGTGCGCACATGTGGCCTGTGTGAGCTTTGCGTGTCTGTATGTGGGTCTAGAGTATGGACTTTTTTTTTTTTCGCGTATTTGTGTGCGTATGTTGGTTGGTGAGAGGGTGTGTGTGTTATTTATAAGAGAAAGAAGTGTTCAGGGAGTGAAGACGGAGAGAATCGATGGGGAGGGTGAGAGAATGAAAGAGGTATGGAGGGAGATGGCGAGGGGTCGGTGGTGAGATGGATCTGGATGGCAAGAAAGTTTGTGGAAACTTATTGAAATGCACAGATACTTAAAAGAGCCTAAAATGTTTAAACAAAACATAAACTTTCTGGTTGTTTTTTTGTTGTTGTTGTTTTTTTCTAAGAAGAAAACTGCTGACATTAAAGCAATTTGGTGGTTTCAAATGCATGTTATTGTACTGAAAATAATCAGTAGTTCTGGCATTTTAGTTTGCTTCTGCTAGAGTTCTGTATAATGCATGTTAGATGCACCAGACTTGTGATGCAGATTTCCTTTTTTTTTTTTTCTTCTTCTTTTTAAGTCTGATCAACCAATTCTGATTTTGACTGATTCAGGATTCTTGTTTTTATTCTTAAGGCTGTAATGAATACAATAGAAAACTGTGTTCTTTAATCAGTTCAATAGTTATTGAAATAATCGTCAACCAGGATGACGGTGATGTCTGATGCAGGAGTTTGTCCTGCAGGAGTATAGAGACTTTAAAAACACACCTTCAGCTGACAGAGCAACCCACTTAGAGCAGCAATTCTTCCAAAATTGTAAAAACAAAAAAAACTTAGTAGACATTTTGTGTTTAAAATAAAGTTTTGTCCATCTACCTGATCTATCCAGAACTCCTCAAGTGGAAAAGAAAAAAAATTATTAAGAAACCTTTTGCTTAATTGAAAAAATAATCAATAATCCATCAGTAAAATGATAGTTAGTTGCCCCAGTTCTCATTGGTGTTGGAACTATTAATTGGATTGATCATGACTGTTAATGAAAATGATCATCTGCTAATTTAACTACTGGATACTAACTAACTGGTGAAAACAGACTGGAAGAACAGCCCACTCACTGCCATAGTTAATCTAAAACTTGACGTTTTTTGTATTCAAGATAAAAAACCTTCTTTGCAGTTTTTGAGCGCTGGTCTATTTATTTAATTTTTTTTATTTTTTTGGCCATTTTTATTGTGTTTTTGTTAAGTTTTCTCTGATCCCCTAAATTACAATTTCAGTCCTATAAAAACCATGCATGCTGTTTATAAGGTGGCTTTAATTCAGTACCTGCCAGTTGACATGGAGCTTTAAAGCTCGACATTAATGCATAATCTGAGTGTTTAAAAAAAAAAAAAAAAAAACTGAAGGATATAAAATACAGATATTGGAATTAGATATGCTAATGCAGCAATTCTACAACTAACACTGGGATAAAATGAGAACTAAGAAGACATCTGAGTAATTTATCATCATCTCTAATCATCAAAGAAGGGGTTTCTGTTTTTACGAGCCCTACAAACTATTTGGCACGATCCAATAGTTAAAGCTTTCAAGGCAGGATTGCTGTAGACGTTTTTTTTTCGCGCACTGAAATATCTTCTGATCTTAAGATGTGTGAAAATGTAAAAAATCTTCTCCAACTTTCATCTCCCTGTTAAGACAGAGCAGCTTAGTATCCATCATGTGGATCTAACAAGGAATATTAGCGAAAAAGGGGCAATGTCTGCTGTGTTGACAAACTGTTCAGTTCAATTTAAAGACAGTCAAGCTGTTTAAACTAAATATTACGATTCAAAGCAGAGATTTGGACACATGCACACGACATGCTTATGGGTTTATTTTGGCCTCATCAGAGAGTGTTAATGGGAGCTGTGGTGTAATGCATGAATGCAGCTGATGCTGGTTATTGAGGCCCTGCTGCAAGTTTATAATCTCTGTCAAAACGATACAGCTCTGACTGCCGATTCTTTGCGTACATTGCTAGAAAAAGGTTTTTTGTTTTGGCTTAAATCTATGCAGAATACCATAAGGTAGACCCTGATTTATTTTCTTTTATACGCTTGTGTTCACATCCTTTATACTTAGCAAAACTAATTGTTTGATGTACATTTTTTATGCAGTAAAGTTTCCACCATTGCATCCAATTCTCAGTATCTAAACCATTTATTCTGACAGGCGGATAAACAGACTTGTGACATTCACTATGTTGTGGTGAGCTTAATACCACAGCTGAATCCAGTAACATGGATAGAGATGCACACTGACATATTGGCTGAGTGCAAAATCAGCCTGATAGGTCCTGACTGGTAACTGTAGGCAAGAATCCCACTAGTTTGGTTGTTTACTACACATGAAGGTTTGGTTATTTAACTGGAACATAGATTCCAGCGAGCAATGTTTTGTAGACTCAGTGCATCAATTTATTGCTGCCTGAAAATGTGAAGATTTACCATCCATTTATTTTCTTCAATCTTCCTTTCATTCAGGCGTCTGTCAGCCCTTTTTAGGGCACTTGGTGAATTTCAAGCAAATGGTCTTATACAAATCCAGGACAAGACCTTATTACCATATTTTTACATAAAAAAATATGGATATTTTTGATGACAAAAATTGTAACAAGAAATGCAAATTTGCCCGAATATATTACGAAAAATAACAAAAGTGCTTTTATAAGAAATTAATGAAAAACACTCTTGAGTGTGAAAGAAACACTTTTTTTTTTTTTTTTGGTCCATCATACCCTTAGAGGCATCAATGCTGATACAGGCATTTACATTTTTTTGTTTATAAACCTAAATATAATTGTTAACTTGGCTTAACTTTTTACACTGGAAAAAAATCTAAATCTAGTCATATTTTCTTAAACAAGTGCATTTATTCTTGAATTGATAAAACAGAGATTTTGCATTGTCTTATTTCAAGTGTATATTATCTAATTATCTTATTTTAAGAGTAAAAATACTCATTTCATTGGCAAAGTATCTCATTGACCTACTCAAACTAAGGGTACACTTAATTTAAGATATTTTTACTTATTTCTAGATTGTTTTTCCAGTGTAACTTTACTTTTTAACTGTTCAATTAGCTTTTTATCTTTTTTTTCTTGACTTAACTTTTTTATCCAACTTTATTTATAGTAGGTAATATATCATTCAAGGTCTCATCTAATTGGTCAAATGCCAAAATTAGATGTACAGCCATGTAGCAGTATCTTTGCTGAATGGCTGGATATAGATCTTGTGCTTCTAGACCTCACTGAGGGACAGGGGGACTCCATTTATAAGGGGTATGTGATCAAAATGATGAAAAATGGTAACTTGCACTCTAAAATGGACAGCATTGATCGCTCTGAACATCTAAAGCATGATCATCCCATGGCCTAGTTTACAGAGAATCCAGAACCATGTGGGGGGAGACAGACTCACGGAAAAACTATTTGCAGATTTGTGGCAGCAGAACTAGCTCAGATTCAGCAGATCAGTTTGGCATTTCTGAGCATGGCTGTTTGACATGGACTTAGACTGGAGGAGATAATCTGACCTATCCACTCTGGGCGGCACATGAGAGGCTGCGTTTAGAAGGAGCCATAGTCCTGGATGTTGTTTCTGGTTGGAGGCTCATTCAGCTGTACTGACCTTTATGATGGTCTGACTGTAAACTGCAGCATCATTCCTCTGTCTGCTATACTGTATGTAAAAACCCATCCTAAGCTCATAAGCTCCTCCCTTTGTAGGAAATAAATTTAGATTTATAGATTTCCTTGATCTCAAATAGAACAATTGAGTTCTCCCCAATTTCTGTTTTCTATCTCCGCTCCAGCGTAAACTCTGCAGTTATCACAGACCCCAATAAAATCAATAAGAGCATTTATACAGCCTCCCCAGGAGTGGTTGTATGTGGCCAAACGGCAAAATGAAGAGCCAGTTTAAAAGTCAATTAGATAACAAGAAACTGATTAAGCACAACGTTTGTATTTAAAAAAATAATTCTCTAAAGATTGACTTGAATATCTTGAAGGCTTCCCTGTACTGATAAATATACACATATATTTCTATTGATATGATTTCATGATTTGTTTATGCACAGCATTGCATGAGGATTAGAAAGTCAAAGTAAGAAAATACTTTTTGCTCACGTTTCATGTTATTACAGGATATCATTGTTGTATAAAATATTGATATAATTTTTCAACTGTTTTCCTCTACTTTAATAGAAGATTTTTTTCTTGAATGTCAAAATAAAGCTTGTAAACATGTAAGTTTTTTTTCTTTTTCATTTCAAAGTATGAAATTTGCAGGTAATTTAATTGTTTTATGTTGCACCTCGCTAATCAAGTGGGAATGCTTATGCATTCCCACTTATTGGAATTACAATTGAAGTTTTTAAGGCCATTGCCGATACAGAGTACTTTGACATTAGTCTAACTGATCCTTGATATTTAATTTAGTTTATTTATATAGTAACAGTTCACAACACATGTCATCTCAAGGCTCTTTACAACCAGATCATATAGTCAAATTGATTCAAAGTTTTCTGTCTAAGGAAAACCAGTTGCTTGCATCGACTCATTGACTTGAAGTCAATCCCTCACACTAAGCATGCTTGTAGCGACAGTAGAGAGGAAAACTCCCTTTTAACAGGAAGAAACCTCCAGCAGAACCAGGCTCAGTGTGAGCGGCCATCTGCTGAGGCCGACTGGGGTTCAAAGAGATATAAGCAGAGATACAGAGATACAAAAGGCAACTGTCAACCAGCTCCACAGGCGGCGCTGTCCAGGAAACAAACAGCCAGGCAGACAAGCTCCAAGCCAGCTTCCATGTCAGTGGGAATGAGATATAGGAATGAGTGGGAATATGATATTTCTCTCCAAGATGGTGTCACAGCCAAATAGAAAGAGACCAGATGAAGTTACTATGAGAAAATGCAGAGGGAGTAGAACATTAGAGATTTAAGTAACAAATTATGAAGAATGGCAGAATAGAGATATAATAAAAAGTAGTCCCTACAGGTGCTGGTCATAAAATTAGAATATCATGAAAAAGTAGATTGATTTCAGTAATTCCATTTAAAAAGTGAAACTTGTATATTATATTCATACATTACATACAAACTCATATATTTCAGATGTTTATTTTGTTTAATTTTGATGATTACAAATGACAACAAATGAAAATCTCAAATTCATCATATCAGAAAATTAGAATATTACTGAAGACCAATAAAAACAAAGGATTTCTAGAAATGTTGGCCAACTGAAAAGTATGAACATGAAAAGTATGAGCATGTACAGCACTCAGTATTTAGTTGGGCCTCCTTTGGCCTGTATTACTGCAGCAATGCGGCGTGGCATGGAGTCGATCAGTCTGTGGCACTGCTCAGGTGTTATGATAGCCCAGGTTGCTCTAATAGTGGCTTTTAGCTCTTCTGAATTGTTGGGTCTGGTGTATTGCATCTTCTTCTTCACAATACCCCATAGATTTTCTATGGGGTTAAGGTCAGGAGAGTTTGCTGGCCAATTAAGAACAGGGATACCATGGTCCTTCAACCAGGTACTGGTAGCTTTGGCACTGTGTGCAGGTGCCAAGTCCTGTTGGAAAATGAAATCTGCATCTCCAAAAAGTTGGTCAGCTGCAGGAAGCATGAAGTGCTCTAAAACTTCCTGGTATGTGGCTGCGTTGACCCTGGACCTCAGAAAACACAATGGACCAACACCAGCAGATGACATGGCACCCCAAACCATCACTGACTGTGGAAACTTTACACTGGACTTCAAGCAACGTGGATGAAGTGCCTCTCTTCTTTTCCTCCAGACTCTGGGACCTTGATTTCCAAAGGAAATGCAAAATTTACTTTCATCAGAGAACATGACTTTGGACCACTCACCAGCAGTCCAGTCCTGTTTCTCTTTAGCCCAGGCAAGACGCTTCTGACGCTGTCTGTGGTTCAAGAGTGGCTTGACACAAGGAATGCGACAGCAGAAACCCATGTCTTTCATACGTCTGTGTGTGGTGGTTCTTGAAGCACTCACTCCAGCTGCAGTCCACTCTTTGTGAATCTCCCCCACATTTTTGAAGGGGTTTTGTTTCACAATCCTCTCCAGGGTGCGGTTATCTCTCTTGCTTGTACACTTTTTTCGACCACATCTTTTCCTTCCCTTCGCCTCTCTATTAATGTGCTTGGACACTGAGCTCTGTGAACAGCCAGCCTCTTTAGCGATGACCTTTTGTGTCTTGCCCTCCTTGTGCAAGGTGTCGATGGTCGTCTTTTGGACTACTGTCAAGTCAGCAGTCTTCCCCATGATTGTGTAGCCTATAGAACTAGACTGAAAGACCATTTAAAGGCTTTTGCAGGTGGTTTGAGTTAATTAGCTGATTAGAGTGTGGCACCAGGGGCCATCAATTTTGAACCTTTTCACAATATTCTAATTTTCTGATATGATGAATTTGAGATTTTCATTTGTTGTCATTTGTAATCATCAAAATTAAACAAAATAAACATCTGAAATATATGAGTTTGTATGTAATGTATGAATATAATATACAAGTTTCACTTTTTAAATGGAATTACTGAAATCAATCTACTTTTTCATGATATTCTAATTTTATGACCAGCACCTGTATATCCTCCAGCAGTCTAAGCCTATAGCAGCACAACTGTTGAGATAGCTATTATATGCATTAGTTTTTTTTGTTTTTTTTGTTTTTTAACAAAGCCAATGTTGTTGTTTTTTTCATTTACATAAAACGTCACAATGAAACTAGATGTTGCACAGGTCTGAATTTATTCAAAGTTAAGTTAGTGATCCCAAGGCATAGCTGCTGTGTACTTATGAAAAGGCTGATGTTGATATAAGCAAAAAATAAAAATGCTAATATTTGCTCAAAATACCAGCCGGCCAATATATCAGTCTGTCTGTAATGTAGATATGTTTGTTAGTTTTTAAAATTCATTAGTTAGTTTTTAGGTGTTAAAGAACTTTATGCACTCAATGTGTTTACTGATGACTCAAGCTTTTAAGAGACTTTATGGGCATCCATGTGTTTCCATGGGCTTTATTAGGGAGTTGGTGAACAGGTTATTTTGTCCAAAACCCTATGGAATGCACATTAGTGTGAGCCTATTTTAGGGAGCATTCATTGATTTTAATTGGTAGCCATCGATTATTGATGACTCACTGACTGTGAAGTTTGGCTACTAGACACCTTAATAAATGGTAATCTGGTGTTTTATTCTTTGTGCGTTCTGCAGGCGTGGCTGTGGAAGGAAAAGAAAAGGGACACCTGTGAAAGTCTTTCTAACACACACAGAGGAAGAGAGCGTGCCTGAGCAAAGCATCGGCCCAGGTATGTGTGTGTGTGTCTGGTATGTTTTGCATGTCACATTTTTATAGCCATTCAATGGGATTGGGTGTATGTTCGAGTGCCGTCTGCATGTAAGTCTCTCGGTCTGTAATTCTAGCGGCCCTTGCTAGTGTGTATGCGAGTGACCTACTTTTATGTGTGTGTGTGAATGTGTGGGTCTGTTTACGTATGTGTTGCTATGTGCATCTTTGCCTGTGTGCGCTGCAGGAGGTGGGGTTGTGACCTTCGTGTTCATGTGGGTCCTGGTATGTAATCCTTTTTTCACCGACTCTCTCTTTACTCTCAGGTGATCGAAAGGAGGGAGGAGACTGTAAACGACCAATGATGGATGACCCTTCCTCCAGAACACAGCCTAACTGGTGGGCTTATATTAATTTGCTGCCTTTAGCTGTTTTAAGTGACAGTTTTTATAAAAGTGAAGTTTTTTTGAAACGATGACTGCACCACTTGAAGACAGCTTAGTTTAAGCTCAGCACTCAGCAGGTCCCACCAACTGTGTCGGTCTTGATTCCCTCCACATCATCAAGCTGATTTGAAGTGTTCATCTTGATTGGAAATCAACTATTAAATGTTACTGCCTTTAGTTACCTGCACTATATGTGCAAATGTTTATAATTTGCACTAAAATATTTGATGGCAGGCAAAATAAAAAAAATACTCTTAATTGAGTCCAGATGTGTGTATTTAAATCCCCATATAAACACACCAGTTCCGTATAAGCTTTGGAGCTTTTTTTTTATGTTTTAAGAACATCAATCAGCACAGCTGATAGTTCAGGAATAAAATCCTAAAAAGAAACATGTACTGGTCAAACTGGTTTTCAGCATCTCGCAGAGCTCTGTTCAGCATTAACACAAATGCCCCAACAGGCTGGGGTTAGTGTTGATTTGAAGAAAAGGTCCCATCATGATAGAAAGGCGAGAATAATGAATAATGAGAATAATAATGTACGAGATACTACCTTTAAGGACTTGCAGCAGGAGATTCTAGTTGGATCTACAGGCTCTCTGAATGCAAATTCACACCACAATGATCAGATTTGATTTTGTTGCAGAACCTCACACTGTGTAGTTTTCATTTTCCTTCACTGTTATGCAGTAAAGTGAGTTTGTCACATCAAATTCCACGAAATTACATAAAGTTTGGAGATTGTGACGAGAAAAAAAATCAAGAATCTTAAAAAAAAAAAAAACACGCAAACTTTAATTTCTCAACTATGTTGAAAACCCAGAGTTTTTTTTTCTTTCCTTTCATCATTTGATGTTTACCTTTTCAGCGGCCCATCAGAACAGACTCCACATAAGGTCTCTATTGGATCCAAGGGCTGCTCCGCCTCCACACCAGCTCCGCGTCCTGCTGCTTCCTCTGCCCCGACCCTGACACCTGTACCCGCTCCGGCCCCTGCCCCCGCAGCTTCAGCTCAGGGCCCAACGCTGACCCCAGCGTCCACAGCTCCGGCTGCTCCGACTGCTTCAGTACCCGCTCCGACCGCCATGTCCTTCCCTCCGACACCCAACTGCCGCATCAGGGAGGTCCACTGTGGCAGCCAGGTGCGGCTGGTCGTTATCGCCATTCGAGACATCACCAGGGGGGAGGAGATCACCGTGGACTACAGCCTGACCGAGTGGGGAGAGAACCTGGTAAGGACATAACTCAGATTTGTGAAAAAGTATTTGAAAGAAGTTCTTGCTCGAAATGTTCTCCCTCTCCTGTTTTTTTACCATCTGTCCTGTGTCTCAATATATTGTCCTCATTTCTATAAAGCAAACTATTTTCTCTCAGACAAACATGTGTTTCCCACACTGCTGATAATTCTTTGTCTCTATACATGCACACGCAGGCATCCTCGTTTTGCATGCACAAGCTAAACAAGGCATATGGTTACCATGGTGATGGCAGAGCTCCAGCTCTCCTTCTACCTATAGTGGTGTTGCAACGGTTACCATGGTTATTGCATGACATTTGTTGGTTTAATGGACCTCATTAGATCAGATCAATTAACTTGACCAAATGACACCAGAATCTATTTAAGAAGTTGTAAAAATAACTTTACAATTTGGAGATAATTCCGTAAAGTTGAATATTACACTAAACGCATTATGTAACCGCATCTGCACATAAAGTTGACATTTTTTATCTCTAATGCTTTCTTTAAAGAACTGAAACTCGCTTGAATTGTTTTGTTTACCTTATTGACAAACTTGTTTTGATTCTTCCTCTGTTCATTGCCTTCTACTGTGGAGTGTTTTTTTTTTTTCTCCTCTTCACTCTGAGTGACAGCTGAGACTGAGTGTGATGCTAAATATTAATAAGCATCGTGCTTGCTGCTGGTTTAATCTGCATTTTATGCTTCCTTAGGGTTTCCGTGCAAATGCGTCTCCAGCGCAACCAGAGTGTAACTCCGACTCTGAGAATAGCAACAATATCAAAAAGGTAAAACAATGCCTCTGATTTACACACTTCATCTTTATTGTTAAGAGTGTAGATATTTCACACCAATGTATTATTGAGGAGTCAGAGGTCAGAAAATATAAACATTTTTCCTATTTTGAAACTTTGGGAGTGTTGGTCTAGTGCTTAGAGCAGTGCTCTTGTGCTCTGATAAGGTTGCAAGTACCTGGTTTGATCCCCACAGCCTCCATTCTGGGTTCCAGAGCAAAATCCTTAACCCCTGATTGCTCCCCAGGCGCCACACAATGGCAGCCCTCTGCTCCCCAAGGGGATGGGTCAAAATGCACAGAGTGAATTTCCCCCATTGTGGTACAATAAGTGGTTTACATTTTTTTTTTCTTTTTTTTTTCTAGGATTTTAATAAAGTCTTCAGGTCGTTGAAGGTGTTCAGCCTTGAACTTTAGAGGCAAAATAGAAACACTTGGTCCAATTTGAGGCCAAATCGTATCATGAGGCTTTTCTTCTTCAGCTGCGTGTTTAGAGCAAGCTGGGAAGTTTAAAGAAAAACTGGATCTTATTTCTGTAGTTGAAGACATTTTCCAGAGACTCCAATTACAAAAATTAAAGTTCAATGGTTTTGCTTTTTTTAAACCGTTTGAGATTTTCCATGTTGTAGATGACAGAGAACCTTTACCAGCATGTTTGTGGAGACAAAAAATCTTTTTGATTTTAACAAAAGGCTCTCAGTAATAAAAACCTGATGGACTTGTTTATTACTGGACCCAGTGAAATGTTTAAAAAATATATAGCGTATTTTCACGACCATAAGGCACACCGTACTAAAAGGCGCAGTCTCAGTTATGTGTCCCATTTCTGTATTTAACACACACATAAGGCGCACCGGACTATAGGGCGCGTTTTTTATATACAGGTACATGTCCTCTACTACCTTTAAATACCTCTACTGCGTATTTAAAAATACAGCGGGCCCAAAACTGAGTATGACTGTGCTTTATTCATGTATTTATTACAAAGTATTAATCAAACCTGGGAGCTGGCCGTGAGACAGACACATCGCAGATGACACAGCGCTGTGATCACTCCTAAATTAACTTAAAATCCTGTTTTCTCTGAAATGCTTAAAAATCTACATTGGTCTTTTTATTTTTGTTTTTTGGGAAACAAAAACTGTCCAGATATAAAGTCAAAATTCAACCTAGATTTTATTTCTTCCACGAGGGCCGAAGGACAGTGACCGTTATAAACCAAAGAGCCATTATTGCGCTTGATTCTACTGATTAAAGCTGCCAACAGCTGCAAAACATCTGCCCTTTGGATGAAACCATTATATAGAAATATGTATATTAACTATATATTATATTATATAAAACCAGACTCTAATAACTTTTCTATGTAAAAACATTGCGCCCTTTACTGAGGCTCTCAATATTTACATTTACAATGTTAATGTTTATTCACAATACATTTAACAAGAGTAAGACACTAAATGTCTCCCTCCAGCCCTTGAGTTGGCGGTAATACCATTTAAAGTGGGTATGCTGTCGCACAAAAGGGAACAGAGAGCACCTAGTAGAAGTAAGGAGTTTGTTCACGCAAGTGTTACAGTAAAGTCCTGCAACACTGGACTCTGGACAAGCAGGCTTTTAAGGTCATGAAAAAAACTGAAACCCTGGAGTAAAACATTGACATGACTGTGCTTAGCCCAAAGGAAAAGTGCGATTTTGGGTAAAATGATGGACACCACTTTTTATTTGCAACACAAGGCTGATATTGCAGCTTTAGGTTTGACGTAATACGATATCAGCACAAATCATACATCCTTTTACTTCTATTTTTTTTTTTTTTTTTGAGGAATGATAGAAAATGTCTTACCAAGTGATATTACTCAGATATGAGATTAACTGATCACCCCATGTATTATTAATCATGGGGTAAATTTTAAACAGAAGCTGATAGAATCACTGTTTCTATTGGCTTTCTGGTAGCTGAGAGTTTGGATGCAGGCATATCTATAAATACATTAATTTTGTTATTCATTTTTTTGCTGATATCGGATCAATTTCTGATATCAAATTGTAATTCCTACTATTTATCTCATTCTTTGGTTCTGATTTTGTTAAGCTATTGGTTTGCATCACCTTTGCTCTTTGGTTGATAAAGAGCAAAGGTGATGCAAACTGCCTGGAGTTTAGTTTTGATAACAAAACTAAACTCCATCAAACAACTTGCATCAACCTGATGTGTGCTCTGTGTATAATAACCGTTTAGCTCTAAATCGGTCGGTCTGCAGCAAGTTTTTTCCTGCTATCTATCTATGCTGCCTGGGTAGAAATATTTCACTCTGATGATGCAATAATATTAAATATTGAAGACTCAATCCCCGCCCACTTACGTTTTATTTTTTTTATTTCAGTATTATGATATTACCCTGACATGCATATCTTCCCCCTCCAGGAGGAAGAGCCCCTCTCTCTGACTGCCCAGCAGCATCGACAGCAGCAACAGGAATACGTCACACCCTCCTGGTCCCTGTCCCCGTCGTCCTCCCCCATCTCGCACTCTGATCGCAGCAACTCGGATGGTGGAGATGAGGACAACGCCAGCCCTCGTGGTCGTGCACTTCGCAGGCGGAAGAAGCGCCGCGGTACCCCTTCGAAGAAAAAGGTCCCCCATCGGGTGCAGCCCAGACGCCCCTCACCTGTGTGTTCCTCCAGCAATCGTCCACCAGATCCCTCGCTGTCTCCTGGTCTGTCCTCTCCTGCCTGCTCCTCCTCCTCCACAATTTCCTCTAAAATTGAATTCAAAACTCCAGCATTTCCAGAATCTGGAATTGGAGGGAATCTCGCTGGAAATGTCCCAAGAGACGGGCTGTCCACTGAATCAACGAGGCAAACCTGTGAACACTGTGGACGCCACTTCCGCTCGCTGGGCCGCCACTTGGACAAACACCATGCCCACCAGCCCGATGTCTGCACTGCCCTGGTTGAGAGCTACACACAGATGCCACATCTGCACACGCAGGGCACAGACCCAGCTTCAGCGCACACAGAGATCCACTCGAACTTTTCCCAAGCCAGAGGGCAGCGTGGTGTTCAGGACCTGTCCATGTCCCAATCCTGCTGCTCCTCTGGAAGAACCTCCAATAATCTGGTCCTGACCCCTCCCGGGGAGCAGAGCGCAGTGGCAGTGTCTGTGTTAAAGAGGAGCCCGCCGCCACAGGCTGTGACTCAGTCCAGGATGGGAAGTCAGAGGAGATTAAAGAAAGAAAAACAGATGGAGGAGGAGGAGGACCTGGAAGATGAAGAGGTGGACGTTGTGGACATAAAGAGGTCAAAAGAGGAGGAGGAGGAGGAGCTGGTGTGCCCCCAGTCCTTTCAAAGCAAACCAGCCAAAAAAATAGAAGCACCAAAAAAAGAAGAGGAAGAGAATGAAGACAGAGTGAATGGAGTGATGGAAGCTGATGACAGCGGGACAGAAGAAAAAGAAAAGGAGATGCTGAGGTAATTTGTTTCTCTCTTCTTCACCAGTTGGTAAACATGTAGTTTAGAAATGAAAACAAATAATCACCTTATTATTGAAAGTTTATTCGATGAAATTAGTTCCATCCTGTTAGTTGGTAACATCGGATGGAAGAAGTCCCAGACATCACACGTTATTTGAGTGTTGTTGTTACTGTTGTCCAGTAGAGGGTGCTGCCGTTCCTTCTTAAGCCCAGCCTGTCAGGTAATTGATAGTAGTAATGTCAGAGTGGAGGCCTGCTAAAGCAGAAACATGAATAGATCCAGAGTCCCAATTATTGAAACTCTTAAATGGAGGCAAAGTTTGGAGAATTTACTTTGTTGTTCTTTTTATTAACACTCAATAAACTCCTGAAGGTCTGATCTAAACGGCTACATAGCTATCTGTTTAAATGTGTTGCTAGCAACGTCTCTAAAAACAGAGAGCTTTATCAAATTTTCATCAAATATTGAAATGAAGTAGCAAACAGTCTGATATAACATAATTCAATGTTTCCGTACATTACAAAAGAGTTTCAATGATTTTATTCATTTATTCTTATTTTTTAAACCAGTAACCTAACAGTTTTCTGTGTTACATGTTCTTTAAATGTCTAGTTTAATAATGTGTAAGAAAAAAATTTCTTCAGTTATTTAATATTTATTTAATGCAGCTGGTAAAATAAATTGTAAAAATATAATGATGTGCTGCTTTCTTTAAAATCAACATATTATAAAAACCATGTTAATGGAAATGTCCTCTGGGTAAAAGAGAAAACTGAGATGTAAAAAATGTCTGCTTATCAATTAATCATTAATAAATTGATAAGATTAATAGACTTTGGATGATTCATTAATCAATAACATGGTTTTTCTAATGCAGCTACTTAATCTGCTACCTTCCACTGTCTCTAATCCCTGTTGGTTCACATTTTATGTTCAAGCATATAAAAATGCGTCTTCATGAAAGTTTAAAGAAATTGCTACATTCGTTAGCAAAATATCGCGCATGAACTGGAATAGTAGTTTAATTATGTCTTGTCTGCTACCATTCTTAGTAAGTAAAGCTCATTTTAACCAAGTAGTTTTCCAGTTTAAATACAACTTTTAAACATACTCCTTTTAGTTCCAGTAGGAATTAGGCTTGGGCACATATTATGGTGTCTAACCCAAAACAGATGTTTTTTTGGTATCATTGGAATACCTAAAGATGAAGATCTTTTCCCGAAGAGGCAAGTTAAAAGTTAAAATATTGTTCCAACTGCCATGCATGTATATACAATAATAAAGCAGGACAGCCTCTGAATTCTTCAGGTTTTCTACCCTGTTCAAAGTACCTGGACTGATCTAAAAAGTTGGTGAAATGAAAATGGCACATAAAATATATAAAAACAGGTTAAATATTTATACAGGATTGGGCCAGAATTTTTTGAACAGAAACAAAAATGTCTTAATTCTCCTCTTCTTACCGAGGGTCTTCATTTCAGTATTAGGGGAGATGAGTGTTTATATATGAGCCTGTGTATATAATTGTGAACCTGGATGAGAAAACTAAAAAATAATCAAACAATTCCTCACTTTTTAAATAACTGAACTTGGAAATGTATCATTAGAGTTGTTAATAAATAACATCCATGCCCATTATGTCTGTTCATAGATAAACTTACGACTGTATTTATTAAAGTCCCTGAGCTTTACGTTTGTGCCCTCTGGTGTTTTGCAGTGGCTCAGGCCGTCACCACATGCTGCCCCTCCTCTCCTCCCTGTCCTCTCTGGTCCTCTACCTCCGTCGGCTTCAACACTCTGCATTTTTGTCCCTGTCCCGGCAGCTGCAGTCTGCGGAGGCCTGGCGCCTCCTCTGCCACTCCAGTCTGGCTCTCCTCATTCTGTACAATCGAAGACGTGAATGCGAGGTCTCTAAGCTGACCATTGTGGAGTATCGTGCCCGCGTGACTCCTCAGTGCCCCGTCCCTGTCCCTCCTGGTGCACCTCCAGCTCTCACCCCATTGGAGGCGTCCCTCTCCCCCTTCGAGCGACTGGTTCTGCCACACCTCCCTAGAGTCGGGGTTCAGGGGAAGCGTGGACGCGTCCAGCCCCTCATCCTTCCCCCTCACTGTGAGCCCTGCCTGGAGCTTCTCCTGCAGACACGACACGACGTCGGGGTCGATCCTGTCAACCCGTACATTTTTGCGCGACCCTACCACTCTCCAGCCACCCCTCTGCGCGGTACCGACCTTCTCCGCAGCCTGGCCCGTTCAAGTGGGACCCGCAACCCCAGGGCCCTGACACAGACCAGAGTGCGCCGTCAGGTGGCCATCCTAACACAGCTACTGCTTTTAGGAGAGGGAGAGGAGCCGGGGCAGCCTGGAGGCGGCGCTGTGGAGAGGCTGGAGCATTTCCTGGAAACGGAGTACCATGTGACCCAGAACTGTGCTGGAATTGGTCAAGACCCAGGCTTGATGGGCAGAGTCGGCCGTGTGGTGCTGTGTGGAGAGAGGGATGGAGTGCTGTTCAGAGGGATGAGCCTCAACCACATCTGTCTAGAGCTGGATGGTAAGATGGATGAATGCATTCACAGCTGGATGAATCGGGAGGGAAACGGGTTAAAATCATCCCTTATTGAATTTAAGTTCTCATCCTTCTCCCATCTGGTTCTTCTCTTTAAACTTGATTTCCAGTTTTGTCAGGAAACTCTGCGGACTCTTACTCCGAGGGAGAGTCTGACGGAGAACACGTGAAGGAGAAGTCCGAGGTGCCCACCCTGAGCCCTGATGTTAGCCCTACACCAACCCTGCTCTATGTCCGGAAGGGCAAAAGCATTGGCCGGGTGGGCCGGCCCAAGAAGCTCCAGAACATCCAGCCTCCACCTCCCCCACCTCTTCCTCCTCCTCCTCCACCACTGCCACCCCCAAACCGCAGGAGGGGCTCAGGTTAGCCCTTTCACTTGGTATTTCAACTTTGTCAAATTTTTCGTCAACTTAAAGGAATAGTACACCCAAAACATGATTAGCCTTCATTTTCTACTCACCCCCATGCTGAACAACACTCTGGAGTACTTTTTTGATATCTGAAATGCATCTGGAGATCTGGGAGGCTTCTTGCTGTCTGCTGACATTCAGATAATGGAGGTCTATGGCGCCCGAGGCAGAAAGGTCCATAAAAGTCCACAAAAACGTGTCAATATTCCTCCATACTGCTCGTCCAATGTATTCCAAGTGTCCTGAGTGGGTAGCACCCATAATTTACTCGAAACGAAGTCATTTAGAATGTTTTTAGAGCATAAACAGTAGTGTATAGGATTTCCTGAAAGCGCGCGCATGCGAGTTCACGAGTCTACGGAAACCGCGGCAGACCAAACCAGATGAAAGTGCGCATTCAGCGTGTGCTCTGCCGATAATGCAAGCGTAGAAGAAGAAATGTGCTGTTTACCTGTGCAAAGAAAGAAACAACGAAAGAAAAATGTCTGAGGACTTCAGTGTTGAGGAAGAGCATGAGTTCTTTGCCGAGCTGAATGCGCTATCAAAAAAGTACTCCAGAGTGTTGTTCAGCATGGGGGTGAGTAGAAAATGAAGGCTAATCATGTTTTGGGTGTACTATTCCTTTAAGGGGTGAAAATCTTCATGATCTGCAGGAGGTCTGGTTTTCCATAAAATAACTTCATCTATGGTAGTAAAATGCTTGAAAGTCTGAACTTCCTCACCTCATTTCCTCTAAAAATAGACTAAAGCTTTGAATAAAATAACATGTTTTATTGTATCAGTCTGAAAAGTGGATTTTAATTAGATTTAATTTCAAATTTTATATTAAAAATGTGCTGATTTTATAAATAAAAAAAATGAAACTGTTTTAAAACTTTTTCTTTTTCAAATGTCCACTAGGTTGTTGGTTCAGTTTTCGTGATCTTTATTTTTGCCAGAGAAAAAATGAGCAGTGCTCTGTTTGAACTCATTCTCTTTATTTTAGAAAACTATTGTTAACTTTGTGAGGCAGAGATGGAACTAGGAAGACAGACGGGGATCGTGTTCTTCCAAATGTCCTCTTAACATTTTGCCATATCATCAATACACTTTCAATGTCTTTTTTTTTATTTATTTTTTATACGGATTATATTTTGCAAGTACAAATCTGAAAAGTGTGGCTTGCATTTGTATCCCCTTTTTGCTGCAAAAACAGCTGCAACTCTTTTGGGTTCTGTCTCTATCAGTTCTGCACAACCAGACATTGAAAACAGTTACTGTTCATCTTTGTAAAATATGAGTATGCTGTTACCCAGCATGCTGTGTGTAAGTTTGTAGTGTTTTTTTGTTTTATTCCCATCATTTGTCAGCTTCTCTCTGCTGATTAAATGAATCTCATAGGCATAATAACACCACCATCATGCATCCTTTTACATCCCCCTCATACTAAAGTGCTGTATAACATTAGTCTCTATACAAATGATGTTTCGTGTAAAAACTTGGCAAACATAACGCCTATTGATACTTTTCCTTTTTTTAAAGTCTTATTGTTGTAAATGACAAGTTAGTTCAGAGGAATGATCCATTTTGCTTGTGTCTGGCCTCCGCTGCAGGAAAGCGAGGTGTGCTGAAGCGCCCCTGGTCAGAGGCAGAGCGCGCAGCAGTCGAAGAGCACCTAACTAAGAACATCAATGAGCTCCGTGTCCCTGCTAAAGCTGACTGTGAGCGCTGCTTGCAGCAGTGCCCCCTGCTGGTCAACAACCACCGGGACTGGCGAGCCGTCAAGTTCTACTGCCACAACCGCATCCAGCTGCTGAAGAAGAATCGCCGGCGTGAAAGCCAACCGCAGCCGCTTCCCGTCTGCTGAGGAAGAGCTTTTCTCTAGCTACCCCGTATGGAGAGCTCTGACTTTCACTTGCTGTCTGAGTTTATCTTTTTATTTAACACATCATGATATTGTCCTAATAGGAAAAAAAAAACGCATTTCAATGATCTGCTCAGTTTCTGGGTCTTAAATAAACACTATTTGTGTTTGTGTAGGAGGATGCATATTCTTCCATCCAGAATAGATACTTTATAGTGATTTCTAAACAAAGAGCGACAGCTGAACCCTACAGTGTTAAACAAACATCGTGAAGTAGCATTTTCAGAACAATAGGAGATGATTAATTAACACACGGCCTATGCTTGGGCTACATTTTCATCCTTGGAGTGGAGAAATGCAGCTAACCAAGGTCGCTCCTCAGATAAGCTAGATATTCTTCTCAGACAACTGACTGTGCAATTATTACTATGGTAAAACAATATTTGGACCACATAAGGCATTAGATTGTAAAAGATTTATGTTTTTGAACTTATCACCATAAGAGAAAAGAAAATCAAGTTTTACTACAGTAATCATCAGCCTGGAGCTAAGGGCTCCAGTTAGATTCAAGCTGCTGTGAAACTTGTCAACTTCTGATATGCTTTGATATTTTTCTGCTCGTTGCAGAATTTTTATTTTTTTATTTTTTGAGGAGGTGCTAATAAGTTGACTATCGTTTTAAATGTAAAGAGTTTTTTATTTTTTTCAAATTTAGTTTTAAAGAGAGAGCATAAACCATGCAGTGTTGTCTATGATTTCTGCTAACAGCTTGAGCTCCTCCTGTCACACTACATGGTTTGCAGCTTGACCAGACTTTTGTTTTTGTTTTCTTTCAATGTAGGTCTGATGAACTAAAACCTCACATCTGTTTCGTGAAGTTGTCAGTCTTTTTTCCTCCTTTCATGCTCTAGGCTGGTCAGTTACACCTGTACGTGATAGATTTATTACCGTAATGCTAACTGTCTGCTAGAGTTAAAATGTCGCATCACTTTTCCTGTCCACTTGAGTTGAATCTGTGTGTAAATAAGCCTGTTTGTAAATATTCCTCAGAGAATCAAAGGAAAAATACAATGTATGACATGACTTATTGTTTTTTCTTTTATACAAATATAAAAAAGTTTAAGCTTCATTATGTGTTGTGTTTTTTTTTCTTCCCCTGAAAGTAATTTGATCAAAGTAAATTAGTAATTTCTCTTTTTTTATTTTAAGTATTACATCTATTTGGAATGGATAAGCTATAAATCTTTACATATTTTCAGATTTCACTGGTTTCTGTGAAACTCTTATACTTCTATATGCTTCCATATTTTGTCTCTTAGTGTTTGTAAAAGTTCTTGATGCCTTTTAAACAAGGTTCCCAGGGTCCTTAAAGCTTAATCCCAGATCCCCCTCTAGTGGATATGGTTTGCTATACTTTGCCACAGTTCCAGAAGGAACTTATTGTTTCATTTGCAACAAGGTTCTTTATAGTCTTGCAAAAACACAGCGTTTTAATGAGCAGATTTTCATGGGTTAGTGTGGCTCAATCTTTTTTCAAATTGGTTCCTTGGTACATGATTTGTAAAAAAGGTTATTTGGGGGAACTTTGAACCCTATGATACTTCTCAAACGGTTCTATTTGCTTTAAATGCTATTAAGCCACATTTGTGTTGCTCTTGAGTTATGGTTGTCTGTTACTCAAATTCCTAACTGGGACCAAAATGACCTCAGGTCCATGTTCTGGACACAGATAAGCTAAGGGCTGTTATGGTGACTTTTTAACTGCTAGAAGCTACTCTGCTGCAGTTTGGGCTTTTTTTGGTTTAATTTTGCGTTTCTTTTCAACTCTTTATCATTATTCTTTACACAGTTTTTCCAACTGTAAATGTATGAGCATGTTAAGTCACTAAGAGTCCCATTTAACATCAACCCAGCACCATAATTGGCAGGTACACTCACCGGCCACTTTATTAGGTACACCTGTCCAACTGCTCGTTAACACTTAATTTCTAAGCAGCCAATCACATGGCGGCAACTCAGTGCATTTAGGCATGTAGACATGTTCAAGACAATCTCCTGCAGTTCAAACCGAGCATCAGTATGGGGAAGAAAGGTGATTTGAGTGACTTTGAACGTGGCATGATTGTTGGTGCCAGAAGGGCTGGTCTGAGTATTTCAGAAACTGCTGATCTACTGGGATTTTCACGCACAACCATCTCTAGGGTTTACAGAGAATGGTCCGAAAAAGAAAAAACATCCAGTGAGCGGCAGTTCTGTGGGCGGAAATGCCTTGTTGATGCCAGAGGTCAGAGGAGAATGGCCAGACTGGTTCGAGCTGATAGAAGGGCAACAGTGACTCAAATAACCACCCGTTACAACCAAGGTGGGCAGAAGAGCATCTCTGAATGCACAGTACGTCGAACTTTGAGGCAGATGGGCTACAGCAGCAGAAGACCACACCGGGTGCCACTCCTTTCAGCTAAGAACAGGAAACTGAGGCTACAATTTGCACAAGCTCATCGAAATTGGACAATAGAAGATTGGAAAAATGTTGCCTGGTCTGATGAGTCTCGATTTCTGCTGCGACATTCGGATGGTAGGGTCAGAATTTGGCGTCTACAACATGAAAGCATGGATCCATCCTGCCTTGTATCAACGGTTCAGGCTGGTGGTGGTGGTGTCATGGTGTGGGGAATATTTTCTTGGCACTCTTTGGGCCCCTTGATACCAATTGAGCATTGTTGCAACGCCACAGCCTACCTGAGTATTGTTGCTGACCATGTCCATCCCTTTATGACCATAATGTACCCAATTTCTGATGGCTACTTTCAGCAGGATAATGCGCCATGTCATAAAGCTGGAATTATCTCAGACTGGTTTCTTGAACATGACAATGAGTTCACTGTACTCAAATGGCCTCCACAGTCACCAGATCTCAATCCAATAGAGCATCTTTGGGATGTGGTGGAACGGGAGATTCGCATCATGGATGTGCAGCCGACAAATCTGCGGCAACTGTGTGATGCCATCATGTCAATATGGACCAAACTCCCTGAGGAATGCTTCCAGCACCTTGTTGAATCTATGCCACGAAGAATTGAGGCAGTTCTGAAGGCAAAAGGGGGTCCAACCCGTTACTAGCATGGGGTACCTAATAAAGTGGCCGGTGAGTGTAGAAAGCCATGATCCCCAGGCTGGCTGCAAAGCATAAAGTATTTCCTCTCACAAAAAGAAAAATGCTTACTATATCCAATCGTTATTTGAAATGAATTAAAAATGGATTATGTCATCATGATGACTAAAGACTTTATTTTATAGGTATAAACCTCAGAGAGCATCTGGCTGCTCCCAACTGAGTGCAGTTATTATTGCAAACACTAGAGAGTAGTGTGGTATTATATCCAAAGCAACATTTACTGCAATAATAAATGCGTGGGTGTAAATGTGTGTGGATCCATTAAAAGGGAGTAAAGTACAACATATGCATGCACAAAAATGATGTAAATGTTTTTCCAGCTGTACTAATTCCAAATGTGATTTATAATCAACAAAACCAGGATGTTATCCTCTTTAAGGCTGCTGATAATTGTTACCACAGGAGTCTACATATTTAGAGATACTCTTTATCAAAGTGCCTTAAAGTGTTACTCAGAAAAGGACGTTAGACTTTTATGTAGGGAGAGGACGGCATGATAAAAAGTATTGCTCTTTTTCTGTAAATCTAAAACTAAAAACATGAATTCATATGGATTATTTTTATTTGAAACAAAATGAACCATGCAGATTTTTAAATGTTTTGTTCTGGATAGGAGACAGAGACAGATTTAATCCCTTTAATGGGAGGTTATATTTGTGATTACCCTGAATAACAAACGCAAGGAAAAAAGGGGGAAAAAAATAAAAGATAAAAAAAAAAAAAATCTACAATATACAGGTCATGTAAGTGCATGTACTTTTATACTAATACTTTGTTGAATCACTTTTTAAATATTGTGTCAGATTAACTGCACAGCTGCCATGTTTTACAAAAAATATGATGAGTTTAAGATTAAGATTTTGTTGACATTTGTTTATTTGGATTCTTAAGGTAAAGCCGCGAGGCTCCTGTGGATCAAAATTTAGGAATTTCTGCACTTCTTTGCACTGATTGTGTTAAAACAAGGCAAGGCAAGTTAATTTATAAAGTACATTTCTGTAGCAAGACAGATCAAAGTGCTCTTCATGGAAAAAAAAAAACAGAATAGGAAAACAGGAAATGTAAATTGTTGCGGAATATGAATAGGGACTGACATTCATGTTAATGTTGAGTCAACAAAACAATAGGAGCGAATTTCTATTGTCTCTCCATGATCACCCAGGAGGAGCATGGTTTTCCAGCTAATTGAGATAGAAAACTTTTTTATCAATCTGTCCGATGAACTTACTGAATTGTCTCTGTAGAGATGCCATGTTTTGTGAATTTATGCTCTAAAAATAAATGACCCCTCACACCCCCACCATGGACTGTTCTCCCTGCTGCCCTCTGGGGAGAGGCTTTGCAGCATTTGATGCAGGTCCAGCAGATTCTGCAACAGTTTCTTCCCCACCGCTATCAGACAGTTGAACTGTTGAAAAATAAAACAAGAAAAATAAAAAATAAAACAAATCCCCCCCCCAAAAAAACCTCTAAATCATGTCATAGACTCTGCATCACACTGATAACACCAAACAAAAAAATACTGCATATTTGCACTATATATCTTAATGCTCTGAACTCCCATATCATATCATATTTTGCATGTTTAGTTTAATAATTCAAGACAATAAAAATGAATAATCAATAAAACACACAAAAAAGGCCACTCTAAACAAATATGTATTTAATATCAATTTAATGGATCTTAGATTTTTTGTACTTTTACAGCTTTTGGGGAGTTTATTCCAGATTAGTGAAGCATGAAGACTAAAAGCTGTTTCTTCATCTTTGGTTGAGATTCTAGGTGTGCAAATAGATTTCAGCCAGAAGAACTGAGATATCTGAGTGGTTAATACACTGACAAGTCTGGAATATATCACGAGTTAAGCCATTCAGTGATTTATAAACAAACAACAGTATTTTAAAGTCTAATATCTTAGATACAGGGAGACAGCATAATAACTTTATAAATGGGGGGGATGTTCTCCGTTTTCTTAGATTTAGTACTGAGGAAGTAAGCAGCATTATGGATCAATTGCAGCTGTTTTTTTTTTTAAGGCAGACCTGTGAAGACGCCAATGCAGTAATTATTTCAGCGAAAGATAAATGCATGAATCAAAAATTTATTAATCAAAATCCCACCGAGACATTAGTCCTTTAATCCTGGAAATGTTTTTTAGGTGATTGAAAGCCGACTTGGTTTCTGCCTGTATGCGTCTCTGAAGGTTCAGGTCTGAGTCCATTGGTACATCCAGACTTTGAGCCTCATCAGTGGTTTATAGAATTGCATCGCTTAAGGTTTCTTCTTGAGCAGCTTGACTCTGAAATTCTTTTCAGAGGAACTTCCTTTCCTCCATATTTGAATCAAAGTGCCTTTTAAAAAAAAAAAGCTTTTCACCTCTGATGTTAAATATTGTGCAGCTGAAAGGATTATTGCTAGCAGCTTTTTAAATTTGGAAATCTTTTATGATTGGCAACAATAGCAACCATAGTAAGTTGTTTTTTTTCAGCGGGTCATTAACATCTCAAAAGCTGAAATAATACATCAACTACTTCCGAAAGCACCAGCTGAGTTGAAAAGGAAGCGCTTAAGATGCAGAGAGCATAGAGGAGGAAATCATTTCCTTTTCATCAATCATTATGGGCTATGTTCAGGAGCAATTAAAAGAACTCCAAGCCCAGCAAAGACCCAGTCAGAATATGAGTAATGCAATAATGTGCTTTACTCAAATACGGCAGCAAGATAACATTCCTGATCCAATGTAAGCCCCTTTATAAGAGGCAACATTAAAGAGAACTGGAATAAGATGGTCATAGCTGAAAAATATGAAAAAAGCTGCAAGGTCTTTTGGAGAAAACAGATGAGATGCCCTGTATAGGCCCCATGAATGGGTCATTTATGCAATAGCTGAGTGTATGGCAGACAATAGTAACTTCTTTTTAGATAATACCATCCCTACCAGAACCATGAGATA